GATGCAGTGTGAGTGTGTGGTTGCATGAACTTGGCAGCTGTGCTGAGAGGAGAAGCAGCCCCAGAAGAAGGAGGTGTGCTGGGAGAGGAGAACACTGGGCTGCAGGTTCTGGAGCTGCCATGGGCTGTGTGTATCCAACCCGCCATCAGCTGCCCTGTTCCTCAGATCCCTGTGTGCTGCTGACCCCAGGAGATGCAGCACAATCAGTCTATGCATCTGCCTGTCAGCAAGTGTTTGCAAGTGCCAAACCCTGGGCATCACCGCAAGGGACCCTGGTGACGTGAGGGCAGTGTCGGTGTAACCACGCACGGAAAAGGTGGAGCCGGGAACGACTCGCTGCTGATTTACTCTGGCTCTTCCCACACACTCGGGGTCTGTGTGTAGTATTTGTCATCTGCGTTAATAACCTACTAAAAAGGGCCTAGTTTTGTTTCTCTCAGCAGTAAAAATCTGGAGCAGCTCTGCTGCAGTGGATGGGTCCTGCTGCTGTTCAGAGGGGTGCACGTGGTGGCCACCCAAGAGCGTGTTTGTTGCAGAGGGGCTGGTCAAGCCCAAGGTGGCCCCAGCCACTTCTGGGGACACGGTGGCTCACAATGACAGCGAGTATCACTGCCCATGCCCTTCTCTCTCCTTTCAGATGCGCTGATGTCTGCCCCTTGCCAAGACCTGACCCACCCGAGGTTGGCAGATGCGCAGATGTGAGCGTGAATCCCCAGTAAAAGGTAACCATCGCTCACCTCTGCTACTGCTGGTGGGGTTTCTTTCTGTCCTGCTGCAGTGGCCTGGGCTGCTGATGAAATCTGAGCCCACCTGAGGGTGGTGGGTGAATCCCTTCCCCTCCCAGGGCTGTGACCCCACAGGCAGGACGCCCCAGTCCCTGCATGTTCAGAGGCTGCACCACTGTGTGCAGCATTGTTGATGAGTGGGGCTGCACCTCCCAGCCCTCCTCACCCCTCTTCCTCCACAAATCTCTTCTTCTTTTCTGTAGAATGAGTGAGAGAGACATACAGAGCCTGAGCAAATGGGTTTTCGTGCTCACTCTCTGCCTTACCACGCTGTGGGGACGACTGACACTGGCCTCCACCCATCACCACAGAAGCCATTCAGGTAGGGGAACTGCGTGGGATTTGCACTTGGAGCGCCTGTGTGTGCAGGAAACTCCCTGGGCTGCTCCTTGGAGGCAGGCAGGAACATGGAGCCACTGGCCAGTAAAGCTGCTCCTTGGAGTTAGAACTTGTGGATACCCATTATGAGGCATTTAAATCCCGTGGCTTGGTGAGTCTGGCTGGTCTGAGGAGCTGCAAAGTGAATTTCTTTGTGTCTGTAGCAAAATCTGAGACACACAGAATGACCCATGGGTACATCTGATACATCTGGGAATTCAGGTTATTACTGAGGTGATTCTTGGTCTGTGAGCTGTGGGTGTAAATCTTTCCACTCGAGTTGCAATGAAAGTCACAAACCCCACTTGTTATGCAAGTGTTATGAGGTGGACACTCTCCACCTCAGGCGTTTGTTAGAAATACAAATTTTCATCCCCCTGGTTGCAAAGATCATCTCGAAAGATGGAGCAAGTATAAAGTGATGTAGAACTGAAAGTCTCTCTGGAAAGCATCGTCCTGGCTCTGGAAGGTTCATTTGTTATTCCCAGCTGTGGATCTGAGATTCCCCCTCTGTGTGTGTGTGTTGGGATGCTCCTTTGTGCCATGGATGTGACTTTTTGGGGGGGGTTGTGTGAACCCATGGCTGATGTTTGTGTCTGGAGAGGAGAAGCAGCCGAGAAGTCATGCCCAGCCCTTTGTGCCCGGTGCAGGAGCCTGATGGGATGTGCCAGGGTGGTGACCCAGTGGTCCAGGGCTGGAGATTCCTTTGGTGCATGGTGGGAGGACGCTGTGTGTGGGACTGGTGTTACTGGTGCTACTGGTGTTACTGGTGCTACTGGTGTTACTGGCAGCAGAGACAAACCCTTGGGGCCCAGGGTGATCCTGGGGCACCTGCTGTCTGCCTCTTGTGCCTCTGTCTGGAAAGGGCATTTAAGGGTTAATTTGAAACCACTCGTGCTCTTGATTGACCCCACACCTAACCCTGTCCTATTTCTGTCATTTTTGCCTGACAGTTAAAGCAGTTCTAATCCTGTAATCCCCAACCACGTTGTTTAAAACCAAAAGGCCTCTTCTGGAGTGACTCCCTCACCCAGACAGGCTTTCCCTCCTCCTAACCCTGGATGCCTCATCCCTGGAAGTGTCCAAGGCCAGGTTGGACAGTGCCTGGTCTAGTGGAAGGGGGTGGAACAAGATGAGGTTTAATGTCCCTTCCAACCCAAACCATTCTGTGATTCTGAACTGGAAAAAAAACTCATTTTTTTCTGGAATAACTTTACAGCACTGGCTCAGAACTCCCTGGGATGCAGGCACTGCTGGCAGCCAGGTGCTCACCCAACCTGCCCAATCCCAGTGCCAGAGAATCCCACACCACCACAGGATCGATTTGCAGGGAGCTGCTTCTTCAGGGAAGAGTCGGAGCTGGCATTAATAAAGCAGCAACTCACCAAGGTTTGAAGTGCAGATGCCCAAGTGTACTGCTGGGGTGTGAATTATGTATAAATCTCACTCGTCCATGAACAGCCAGGCTCATGGACTCACGTGCCAGCAGGCAGAGAGCTGGGGATTTTTCACTCACACAGAACTTATCCACAGTGGACCAAACCTTGCACTTTTTATTCAGGAAAATTCCAGTCCACAGCAAAGAGAGCAGATCAGGAGCAAGCACTTAAAAGTTTGACCCCACTCTGTGTTGTCTGCCTGAACATGGTTTCTCTCTGCCCATCCTGCTTTCCTGGCACTGTAAGAACTTTCCGTGGCTGCTTCCTCTCCTAGGCTGTGATTCCATGGGCTCAAACCAGGAATTCTTGCTCTGCTTGCTGAGACTTTATTTTCCTGGTTTTTGTTTGGTTGGTTGGTTGGTTTGGTTTGTTTGTTTGTTTGGGTTTTTTTTTGTTTTGTTTTTTGTTTTGTCCCTTTTCCTGTGCTTTTGCTTCATTTGGGACAGTTTTTTGGAGAATGTTATGTTTGAAACACACTTCCATAATGCTGCATCCTTGGTGGCAGTGACATTTGTGTCCAAGGAAGCTGTAGCCCATTAGAGCATTGACTTTATTCACATCTACAACCACCCAAAATGAGCAATAACAGAGGAAGGGCTTAAATTGTTACCACAAGGTTTCAGAGCCCAGAAAACTTCCGAATTTCTTGAACAGACAGCCCACATGCAAACCCTCTGTTTGCCACCACATTTGCCACATTGGGCTGTGGCAGTAAGGTCTGATGAAAGAATCGTGGAATATCCTGAGCTGGAAGAGACCCATAAGCATCAAATCCAACTCCTGGCCCTGCACAGGACAACCTCAGAATCACCCCCTGTGCCTGAGATGCCCTGTGCCCACCCAGCACGTGGGGATGCTGCTGTGTGAGGCGCTTCCTGGGGAGCGTGGTTGGATTTAAAGAGCCACATGAACCAAGCACAGTCATTTGGAAATGAAATAGGAGAGTCCTCAGCGGGGAATGATGATTCACCAGCAGTTTAATCCCCTGTGTAACGTGGCGAGGTCTCTGTGATGAGCAAGGCTGGGATGTCTGGATCCAGCTCCCACAAAGGTGGCCCCAGCACTTTCTGCTGAACCCCTCTAAAACTGATAATCAAAGTGCTGCCTTTGCTTTTATCCACGTTCATTGCTCAACCTGGAGCAGAGGTAAAGGCATTTAGTCAGCTTTTGGGAAATGAGGTTTTCTGGATGAAGGAAGAACACCAGTTTTTGACTATGTTGTAAGAGGGATTTACTGGTCAGCAAGGGCAGCAGCTCTGTGGCTTTTACTTATGAGATGCTTCACTTGGAAAAGCCTTGAGTCCTCTGTCCCATTCAACCTCTACAACAAGGTGGAATATTGCCCTAATTCACCCTTTCTAGACAGGGTGGGTGTGGGAGCATCATTCAGCACCAGGGGGGTTGTGTGTCAGGATCTGCATCCCCAGCTGCAGGGTGTCCTGGCAGCTTCCTCGTCACACAATGCCAGAACACTCCCAGCTGCTCTCAACACGGCCCAGGAGTCTGGATTTCTGCTTGCAAGTGTGAAGTGCCGGGGTGTGCACGAGCAGTTCATGGATGTGCACACACTCACACATGTGGTGAGGGGGGACAGAGTGTGATGTGCAGTCTCGAGGTGACAAGAGCAAAAAAATCCCAACAGAAATGCGGTGATAATGAGTGATAAAAACAAGGCTGCTTCGCTCCAAAGCCCTCTTCAATAATACATGCATCTATGGCAGTAGTGATTTTAAGGCTTTAATTATTTAGTGAATATTAGTAGTGGAGTTGTTGCAGGGTGAGGAGCACAGATCACTCACACCACTGGCTGCCCGGGTCTGCCCATGATCTGCTCCATTCCTGGTGCCCCCAGGGCTGTGCCACCCTTGAGCAGAGCCCACCAAGGACAGGATCCTCTGCCTCCCTCCAGGTCCTGCCCTCTCTCTGCTGCTCAGCCCCCTCCCAGGACACCCAAACCCCTTTAAGAGCATTTCAGTGCCCAGCAGAACCACATCACAGAATCACAGAGTGCTTTGGGTTGGAAGGGACATGAAAGTTCTTGTTGTTCCATCCTCTGCCATGGGCAGGGACACCTTCCAATAGACCAGGTTTCTCCAAGCCCTGTCCAACCTGGCCTTGGACACATCCAGGAGGAGGAGGAGGTTTGACACGGGTTTGGGTGCTGCCTGGCATTTACATGCATCCAACTTCTCCTCATTTTGCAGCTCTCTACCAGCAAGCAGAGCAGTGTTTTCTACTGAACATGTGGAGCTGTGCCCACGCTCCCTGAGACACTCAAAATGTGTCATTTCAGGTTATGCCATAAAACCCCATGTTCTGCTGCTCACTTAAAGGTCAGCCAGAGCAGTTCACCATTTTTATTTTATTTTTGCATGCAGGATTCAAAAGCCTTGTGCTCTTACAATTCTTTTATGGTTCCATGAGATAAGGTGGGTTTTTTTTTTTAAAAAAATGGTTCCAGTGGGGAAATACCAGTTAAATGGGAGGGAGAAGTGTGCCAGAAGCTCTGGAACTTATCCCAGGCTCTCTGGGGGTTTCCTGCTGTTGGTGTTAAACACACCATCCATCTGATGTGCGTTTTGTTCCAAGTTTCCTGCTGCTCAGCAAAAGGAGAGGCAGCTGCAGGGAGCTCTGGAGCCCACGGCTCGCCCTGCACGTGGGCTCAGCCTCTCTGCTTGTGCTTCCCCAGGCGTGGGACATGAGAGCCCAGTGTGGCAGGGAAGCCCTGGGCACAGGGCTGCTCACCCCCTCTGCCAGGAGGAAACAGCAGTGTCTCTTGCTGACATCCTGGGAATCAGCACGCCTGAGGCGGGGGGGGGGGGGGGGG